TCACTTCCAAGTTTGTGAATCTTGCGTAGAACGCTNTCAATAATGCATTAATTTCTTTCGAATGTCCTCTGATGTGATTAAGCCATTGTTGAATTTCCCTGGGTCTCCTATTCGTTTTCACTATTTCATACGCATCCTCCAATGACCTCAATAATCTTATACACGCGTTAGGATCCATGTTATTCATGGTAAAGATACTAAAGAACTAGCGGAAAATCAAGGTGAAATTTGTTTATATTGATACATATGCGAGTGTGCCTACGCTTGTACACTTTGTAAAATCTTACGCGATTGGTTGAAAAAGAATCATGTGACTCATGGAAAATTATTAACAAAATAGCAACATTTTTTGTTTCTGGGAAAAAAAATAGCTGAAAAATGTCCTGGATAACATTTAATCTTTGCGGTGCGATAAGACATCAAAGGGTCCGAAAACTCTGCCCCAGTTTGTCAAACATCATGTTCTTAGGGTTGTGAGTACAACGTGCGTTCCCAGGTAAACCGAAAAAGTCTATGTAAACAAACGATTGCGTTCGGACATCTTCCAATGCATTTCCATTCTTATCAATTTGCAGGAGATGGAGATTTTTCGGAAACTCCTCCTACTACAACGTGTAAAATTTGTCGAGGACTATGCCAAATTGGTGGGGGTATCTAAGTTTTTGAATGACTGATCCTCTGCCTTTGCAGATATACATACTCCCTCTCCTTCTGAACTTTTCTTTTTAAAATAAATATTTACATATTTATATCGTTATCAACAACAATTTCACACGAAGGGGGGGCGGCAGATGAGAAAGTATGGGAAATCTCAAGTTCAGACATCTCAGGAAAATGTTTTTTAAAATAAATATTTATATATTGATATCATTATTAACAATAATTTCCCACGAAGGGGGGCGGCAAACGAGAAAGTACCGGAAAACTCAAGTTCAGACATGTCAAGTGGAGCCAGGTGTCAATGTTTGAAGATGAAGAGGAGCCCCTTCTATGATTTCTACAGCAGCAAATTAGTTAACCCTTTCACCCCTCGCGGCGGTGTACTGAGAAGTTTGGGTATACTAATTGATTAATTAATCAATCGATCCTGGAATTTAGCCGTGATCTGCGGAATTAATCTGTGATTCAAACCACGACCTGCGAATTAATTAACCCCTTCACTCACCCCCTCGCGGGGTGGATTGACTAGGTCACCGAGACGGTCCTTTGTAACGCAAAACCGCGAATTAAATTGATTAACCAGCGAATTAAATAACCCTTTCATCACTTCGAGTGATAAAATCGTGAATTAATAAATCAAACCGCGAATTAAACTGTGACGCGGTGAATTAATTAACGCTTTCATCCCTTTGATTCCTTCAGAAATACTTTTTTCATGCAATATTTCCTCTTGTAAAAATTGCCTCAAGCAATAATTCTTTCCCAGAAGCATGGGATAAACTTGTTTTGGACAGCATAATCTCTCCGAAAATCCCATAGTTAACTGAAAAAATATTTAACCAATATAAAAAAAATATTTCCATAGATATTTTCCTCAAATTTTTTTTTCCAAAGTAATTATTTGCCAAATAATTTTTTCCAAAATAACTGGTTCTAAAGGAATTTTTTCCAAGGAATTGTTTCCAAAGGAATTTTAGGCGGACACCCCAGTACATCGATGTCGAAACAGAACCTCCACTTAAAGAAGATTCTCCTGTGTATCTGGTAGGGCATGGAGGGTGTGCTTTATTATGAACTCCTGGAAACTCGTCAGGCGGTAACTGCGGAATGCTACAGCCGACAATTGAACAAGCTGAGCGAAGTACTTGATCGGAAAAGGCCTTTTACTGGGCAAGAAAGCAGGCAGATCATACTGCTGCATGACAATGCTCGACCTCACGTTGCTCGCGCGACTCAGAAGACCCTCTTGAACTTCGGATGGGAAGTTCTCCCGTACGCGGCATATTCACCAGACTTGGCCCTATCTATCACTTGTTCCGGTCAATGCAGCACGCCATTGTGAATAAACAGTTTAAAACGCTGGATGATGTGCGTAAATTCACCGATGACTTTATCGCCTCGAAGCCTGCAAGTTTCTTACGCGACGGCATTCGTATGTTACCTGAGAGATAGCACAAGGTCATAAAAAACAATAGACAGTATTTTCAAGATTGAGTTCGTTGTTCTCTATTTTTTCGCATTAAATAAATTTGCTGAAAAATCTGTAAAAATTGAGTCATACACCCAATATTCTGAGTCAACTACATAGAGCCATTGAGACGAGTATTTTGAAATAAAAATTTGAAATTGGTGCAGTAATTTTTTAGATATTGAGGAAAAACGAAAGTTAAACAAGTTGTTATACAGAAAGAACTACTGGACCGATCGAGCTGAAACAGCGCGCCAAAGTTGAGCTAAATAATATCTACAATGAGCCAAAATTCCAGATTTCCATAGACAAATTTCACCGTATTCATGTTGAATTTTTTAAAAATCAATCACCAAAAACCCAAGTTATCGGATACATACATGCAGACATGACCCTAAAAATATTATTTCTTCACGTTTCATAACATTCTAGACCATTTGCAATCAAAATTAGAAAATGGAAAAATCGGTCAACAACAAGGCTTCCATTCGGAACCGAAAACCGGAGAATTTCCTCGCATTTTCTAGAAAACCGGAGTATTTTTTTTTTATAAAAACAGAATTTTCTCAACTTTTCCAGAGAACCAGAGAATTTTCCTGAATATTCTAGGAAACCGAAGAAATTTCTGGAATTATCGGTAAAACCGGACAATTTTCTAGAAAATCTCAGAATTTTTTAAAATCTTCTAGAATACCGGAGAATTCCCTTGAATTTTTTAGAAAAATCTGGAATTTTCTAGAACTCGGATGACGGATGACGTTGGCCGTTAAGGGTAACTCCGCAAATAACCTTTAACATAAAATTAAAGACGTATATATCCACCTCAAAAATTGCGTTTAGAAGGAAAAGCGCAAGATGGGAGGTCACGTACATCTACGTGAGCATAATGTAACTAAGTGCACTATGCACTACGTATCACATGTGATTGCGCAAAGAGGTTAGATTTATTTATAAAAACCGGTTTCCGATCTAATTTATGTCGAGATACTTCAATATTTATATAAACTAACTAGCCACATGAGGCGCGCGCCTCCTCGATCGGCTGGTTGAAAATTGATGTAGAATAATTGATATGATGATCAATATGATCATTGATACAATGATTGATGAGATGATGATGATGATTATTGTTTTTTTATTCATTCCTAAGTGAATGAATGGTATCACATTGAAGGAAATATTATTTATGAGAAGTTAAAGTCAATGAAGAAAAAGTTGAAGTTTCTCGAATTTCCCAAAAAATTTGAGAAGTTTTTTAAATTCACTTGAAAACTCAAAAACTTTCTTGGACTCTTTAAAAAACTTGAGAATTTTCGAGAACACTTAAGAAGTTCCTCGAATTTTCCAGAAAACTGGCGAAATTTCACGAATGTTCTAGACAACTCCAGAAAATTCTAGATTTTTCTAGAAAATGAGAGAAAATTTTCAAATTTTCCAGAACAATTTAGAAAACCTGAGAACTTTTGACGAAACGGCGAAAATTTCGAGGAAATATCTCATAATAAAAGAAATGAGAATAATTTGTCTAATAACTATTGTAGAGCATTCTCGAGTTCTCCCGAAAGTTCTAGAAATTTCCACTATCATTGGTTAAATAGATGTTTTTAGTTTGGAAGAATATTCCCTCATCTTCTAGAAAATTCGAGAAATTTCCAGAAAGTTGTGGAAATTTCTACAACTTTCTGCGTTTCACCCTCTCAGGGGTGGATTTTTGAGAAAATGAAAAACACGTGTCTCTATATTTTAAAAGGAGAATCTACACGCGCATTTTCAACTCTCTAACTTGAACGGTTCTCGAAATCGCACAACAAATTTTGTCCCTTTTTCACCTCCTTAGGGGGTGAATTTCAAAAAACCCTCCCTTAGTGGGAGTTTACTTCACTAAGGGTAGCTGTAGGCAAAAGCTCATGCTCGTAGCTCTTGTAGTTTGGACTGTGCATTGATACATCAGTCGCCTCGAAAATGGCTTCTTCTTTATATATTAGTATATTTCGTAACGAGTGCAAAAAAGGGTTTTTTGGCGAGTGGGAGGTTTATATCACGAGCCGACGGCGAGTGATATAATCCCACGAGCTAAAAAACATTTTTTCACGAGTTACGAACAATATTTTTCATCACAATGTGGCGGAAGTTGGACTTTTAGGCACGCGGAGCGTGCCGAAAAGTTCACTTTTCGTCACAGCGTGATGAAAAAGATATTTACCTGTCAGTAAATGGCAAAATACGAGCCTGCTAGACTACCACGTTATCTCAGGACGAAACCGAGGGCTGCCAATTACACGAGCTAAAAATTCCCATCTCACATGTGTCAAACAATATTTGTTGATAGTGATATTATGTCAAGTGAGTGGCTGAACTATGCCTTTTTCGTTTACGAATAAATGAAAAGGCACTTTTCGGCACGAGGTGAACGTAGCAGCAGTTTCAGAAAATATAGTTCAAATATAGTTCTGATCTTTAGGTAAAATTCTCTTCAACCCCTCAAGTACGGCGTCAAGTACGGTATTAGTTTAAAATATTTTTATCATCAGAGTAGAAGTTGTTGCGTATTAAAGAGCGAATTTTATAAAATTTTTGACTCATCGGAAGCCCGCCATTAAGTATTGATGACAGAAAAAAGCATTCAAAGATAACTTAATGGCGTGCCCACTGTCCCTTGCTCGTTTATATCGGTAATAATGGATGAATAATCGAAGATAACGAAAAAATTCTCGTGTCAAGATTCGCAAATATCTCTGAAACCAGTGAATTTAGTGAGATCCTTTGATACCTCTCTCTGAGACTCTTCTGTTCGTATAGACATTCTGAATGTTCTCTTTCTTTCCATCAATTAATTACTGGAATGAATTGGTTATTTTGTTTTGTGGAATAGGAAGGAATGCGCCAGCTGTATCAACTGGGCCAGTGGCTCAGGGGCCAATATGACCTTGTGATTGGAAAAAAGTATTACACGAAAACAACTCTAGTACGGAGCAGTTACGCAGAGAGATGTATTATGTCCGCTCAGGCACTTCTGGCTGCACTATTTCGTCCCGAGCCTCAGGATTACTTCGTTCCTGATCTACCCTGGATACCTGTACCTGTAGCCTCAATCCCAAGGGATCAAGACAAAGTAAATCCTTTGTAGTGAAGTATTTCCCTTTAGTAGATAGCATATGATCCATAACGAAAATCTATGTCAAACCGATTTTTCCAATTATTTTGTGGCTGCACCTATGATCGCAGATATGCGAGAAATAACTAGCATGTTTTCTAGATATTCCTCGCAAATACCTTCCAAGTGATACCTGATACCTTTCAACTCATTTCTCAAATACACCAAAACCTTATTTACTTTTCTCAAGAAATGAACTTGTAAATCATTGGATGTACAATCTTTTAGATTCATCTAAACCAAAAGTTATTCAATTCATTATTCTAAATGTTTAGGATGAAGAAATAACTTATTCGGTCAAGAGAAATAACGAAACAATGGTTTCTGTGATCAAATACGGATTGTACATAACACGATGTAACAAAATATGCCCGAGTTAGTGTCCAAAGATGAAATTAACACCACTCATAGATTTTTTCATGCTGAATTCAATGGTGTTTGTAGAAATGCCCTAGCGCGTAAGGTTGTGGAGAAAAAAAATTGTTGAAGTTGTTAAATTGGTTGAAAATGAAATTCGTCGAAAAAACAGAACTAAATGTATGATAGATGAAAGTGAATGAGAAAAAATAGTAGAGTGTAATTGAAGAATCATTCCATCCGTTAAAATAAACTTCCTCCGCTTTTGTGGCGTAATTTCGTTAAAAAAATCCTGAAATTCATAAATTTGTGGGAACTGTCTGTTGATTAAGTCAACCCCTGAAAAGATGGTAGCCCCTAACTCGGCCATATTTTGTTACACCGTGTAATCAAACATAAATATTCTTCAAGTATGATATGACAAATTTTGTCTGGGTAAATTATAACATTATTGAAATAAACAGATTGCTTAGGAGAAGATACACTGACAGAAAAAAACTGTCCTATAGAAGCGGAAAAATTCTTTCCACAAACTTATTCTCAATTAGGACAAGGAAAGCTTAGAGATTGGCGCGGAAAGACAGATGCTCATGAAAAGAGGAAACAATCTCGCGTACAACTCATTCAAGTTTGTCGTAATGAATAATTGAGCATTACAGGAATCGCCTTACCTGTAGATTTGCCGTAGAATAATATGGCTTTACTAATTGTCAGAAACAAAATTACGGAGGGGGGGGATATCAATACATATGCAGCTAGGATTTTCAAATTAATTTAAAAAAATGAAGGAGGTTCAAAGTTACCCTGAGGTGTATGATTTAGCAATGACGTAATTTTTAGGAACAAAACAGGTGTTTTCCCCACACTTTTATCTTAAAGAATGATATCATCCGGAGATTTTTCTCACATCTTTCGTGCCCCCCCCCCTTTCCTTTTGCTTTCCGAATTTATCACCTCTTCCCCATCAGTAATTTTTTTTAACTCCATTAAACCAGCACTGTAATAAGAACGCGTCATTGCACGTGTTTTAAACCATAATTTTTTGTGTGATTTTTTTTGTGAGAATTTGAATTGAATTTGATTATTCGAGTAGTATTTTCTCTTTGTAAGAATGAATGAGATTCTATCAACCTCTAACTAGGTTTGACCGAACACAATGATATTCTTGTGAGAAACTAGAACTGAATTTGATCCACTTAGCCTTGTTCTTGTGACAAGAACGGGTCAGTTACTGGCAATCTCAATTCGAAATTCCCGCGAATCCCCAGATTTTTAGTAAAAATTCTAACGTCACGAAATAATCGGTCAAAAATCGAATTATTTTTTGTCAAACCCCTGTTCATACATAAAAAAAATATCCATTGCAAGCATCGCTCATGCACCTCAGGACATTCCAGTTTGCGTCAAGAATGCATGGACTTGATGCAAACTCAGTTATTCTCATCTCGACATCGCCAGTTCTTGTGGCAAAAACATCACCTGCCAAGAAACGTTTGGATTGTCACAATTTCATAAATCCTTCGAAAAAAAAAATTTCCGTATGGACCTTCCCTTTTCCCAGTCCGGGGATTAGTATTGATCCTTCCCCGAACTGGCAAAAGTGCAAGTCACTACGGAAAAATATCGGTCGCGCGTAGTGCCACAGGGGTTTTCGACGCGAAATATATAATACTACCTCTCAGTGTAACAAAAAATATTGTACTTTTGGGATCATATGAAAAGGACAAATGTCACCAACAAATTTTCTTTCAGTAAATTTTTTCTTAAATTATTATGTATATCTCCAGTATCAGTATAACTATAATAATACTCTATTCCATTTATGAATACTCGTACTGAACAATTCTTTAATCAAGAAATTGCAATTCTCGCTGAACTCTCTTTCACTGAGCACAAATAATTTTAGACTTGATAATTATCAAAAAGCAAGATTTATGAGTCAAATGAGATATAAAGTATTGTTCTTTCATATCTATTAAGAATTGGCATGAATTATGCATCCCTGTATCACTTCTGTACTAAATTTATTTCATTACTTCGGTTTTTAGCTCATAACGGTGAAATATCTTTGCCCGAAACTAGATGAAGCACTGAAGGAAGCTTATGTAAATGAATCGAGAAAGTCAGGGAAGGAAATGGCGCCTTATTACTCAGAATTATCGTATCACACTGGTCGCAAAATGGAGACAATAACTGATGTTGAATTCTTGTACAACACTCTTGAAATTGAGGTAAGAAATTTCTCCTACTATTTCCAGTGATATTCCGCAGGAAATCTCCACTCCCATCAGTCTACTTTGTATCAATTTTTACTATACAGGAAGGGAGGGCGGAAGGGAGAGGGGGGGTCGGTTGTCGCGGTTCAAGCGACCCGAAGCCAGAATAATTATCACCCTATAGGAGGGGTGGCGCCACGGTTGATGGTCGGTAAAAATGAGTAGCGGTGGCGTGGTTTTCAGGTAAAATTAATTTTAATTTGTTTACTAAACTATCAGAATATTCATGAAGGGTAATCTGAGAGGTTTCAACGGTCAAACCACAGGTATCAAATGGCCTACATAAATATATGCGGGTTTCCGAAATTTACTTCCAAACTGTACACTCCCACAGTGTCAGGATACTGAGGAGGTGTTTGTGGGAAGAGTTGTTTTGATTATAAATAATTGAGAGTTCATTCAAAATAAAATATGTGTAATTTATTCACTTCACTATATTTTTCACAATTTGAAAACTTGAGTTTATAAAGGTAAAAATTAAAATTAAATGGATATCAAACGATGAAGACTATTTCTGTATTGTCGCGAAGGCCGAAAGAAAAACAGTTTTATTTTATACGTTGAGTGTATCCGAAACGCGGCGTAACTCCTTTAAATTTTTAGTGGACAGTGGATAGAAGAAGTGTAAGAACGAAATTTGCTCAACTGAATATCTAGGTAACAAGCGATTGACTCAAAGACGATAAGTGATGACTGATTAAAGTATGAAATTCATGGCCTCTTGGCAGAAAGCTCGGACCAGGACGAGAGCCACATCATCGGCCCGATGGCGTGAAAATTCCCCAGGAGGGGTAGTGTTGGAATCGAGGCCCCTTTACCTGGAGCTAGGAAAGTAATGAGGACTGGAAAACCCGAGTCGTTAGGGCTCACCATGGGTAATAAATGCGTAGGAAATGAAATCGGGAAAGGAAAGTTTTTGTTTGTAGTTATAAAACAATTTAAATAGAGCAGATGTTTGGAGTGGAAGTATTAAGGATTTCAATATCGCGTAGAGAGAATGGAAATTCTTGCAGCTGACAAGGAACACTACGCAGGTGTCCCCCTCCGATTTCGATGAAACTTAAATATGTTATAGGGAACCCAAAACTAAGGGACACGTATTTTTTTTAGCTGCCCATATTGGGTTTTAGGGGGCGAAAGTGCTCTCTGAAGTTGACCACCTCTCGGGGTCATTTTTCGATTGCACACATAAGGAAGCTTTTTGAACAACTCTTTCACAGTGTATCATGAAGGTCACAAGGAATGATGAAAAAATGGTGAAATATGGAGGGTAAACTACCCTTGTGAAAATTCATTTTTCTCATAGAAAAAAAACTTTCGATGGAAATCCCATGGGATAGATTCCATTTGAAAAAATAGAAAAAAGTACAGAATACCTGTGTTGTGTTTGGGGGTTCAAAAAAAAAATCATTAAAATAAAACATTCCAGAATTATTTCATGGACTGAAATTCCTCTTTTTTTTCGAACAAAGAATATTCTGGAAAAATCGAGTCAACGAACTCCACGATTTTGCAACGGCAAACACAGCTTCACCCGCGGAATATACTAAGTCAGGCGAAATTAATGTCGAAATGATGCAAAATCAGCATCACGTGAACTCGGACGTTCAACTCGACTCGAACATTCACCAAAATCACTGATAAAAATTAAATTCAGTCTTGTCCTAGCTTCGAAATTAAGAACGTCAAAGGGACAAACTCCTCGCGATCACTAGATACCTGATTCCGGAATCAGTTAGAAATTCTGCCCGGCGTTTATCATAGTGATCCGAGTATCGGGATTAGCTGATCACAATTACGCAGAACTTCGTAGTGGTCAATCCCGCGGTATATTTTAAAAAGTTATCAAAATCACGTCCAACCGATTATTGGAGTTCATTACTCGGCCGACGGGGTGAAAAACTTACTCGTTACGAGTACAGTGCGGCTTCCGATGATCGGGGACTCAAAATAATCTCTACAAATATATTGTTCGGAAATTCCAAGGCAATTGTTCGAGTGCAGCGAGTTCGAGAACTGAAGAGTGNTCTACAAATACATTGTTCGGAAATTCCAAGGCAAGTGTTCGAGTGCAGCGAGTTCGAGAACTGAAGAGTGAGTACCCTAAATATCACGTTAATCTGTCGTGCGGGATTCCTCTTTGTTTTCTCTCTCTAAAGTTGGCCTAATAGAATTTTCGCGAAAGTAACTAAATAGAAAAGAATAGAAGACGGATAGTATTTGTTCCGAATAGTTATTAATTAGCACCAACTAGAAGTTCGATTAAGTTGTTTCCCTAAATTGTAAATGTTGCAAGATAAATATTTGGCTAGAAATAAATGATAAATTCACGTCTCAATGAATCGGTGTTAATATTATTGAAGTCATTATTATAATCCTCAATTCTCTCAATTGACAGATGTGCCAAGCACTTTAAAGGTAAGAATCCCATCCTAAATAAAAATAATTATTTTATTGCCCGGTCAGAGAAATTGATCGAATATTAAAAATAAATATCCTCTCAATTTTCCGTATCCAACACCTGTTTTGATTTTTTTTAAATCGAAATTCAAAACTCAAAAAAATAGATTTTTCGTGAATTGCAAAATTTTAAACTTCATCCTGTACAAAACGAAGCTTACGGCTAATGATGAGGAAAACCATTGGGGCAGGATCCAGGAGTGGTGTCGGGGAGGTTAACTACCCTTGGGAGGGGGAGGGGAGGGGGATTTTTTTTAATAAGGGAGAAAAAATATTGATGAGAATTTTACGAAACACATTTGATTCGAAAGCATGAGACAATTTAAAGCACATATTTCGGATTTTTTCCGCAAATTAGAATTTTAAGGTAAGAAACATCGATTCTTTGAAAAATTATGGGTTTTAAATTGTTTGTTATAATAGACTGATCTTACACGGAATGATAAGTGAAATAATTGAAATAGTCTTCGGGAGTGAAACTTGAGGGCTTCACAATGCTCGTGGTATTTTATCGAATCGATCGGACCAACCTCATTCATTTTCAAAAGAAATCAGTAATGACCATGAATCTAAAAAATTTTACCGAAGGCCAGAGTAGAGATTCCATTAAATGGCTTCCATTTCCAATTTGCAAAATTGAGTTATGATGAAATATTTTGAGGAATTCTAATTTTCATCTTTATATGAACGTGGATGGGTGGTACAAAGAAAAGCCGATGATTTTGTATAGTAAATAATGGATCGATGATAAAATGTATTTTGGTTGCTCTTATCCTTTCGATGTGATATCGTTTTCAATGAGACGTAAATGGCGACATATGACAATACCATTCTGTTTGATAATGCAGAACCACAACTGAAGAATATTCGGGAGTTGTAAACATATTGATGCAAATGGCTCATTTGTTATCTGAGGATGAAATTACTCTGATCAATATAACTTATACGATATCAATGTTTTTCATTTCCATCCCTCTTGTGAACTACAATCAGTCTATGAACATAAATCGAAGAGAAAAGTAGTTTTTCGGTGAGTGTCGTGATCTATACTTGTTCTACCATGAAAGTTAATCCGATCAACGTTATCTGACTTCTGATGGCAACATTTGAAGTTCTCAATCTTGCTGAAACACCTGTGAACAACGAGGAACGTGAATTAGCAGACACATTCGAAAGGATATTAATTCAATCAATGGAGGAATATTATGGAGTTGAAATGATCGAAGAAACATCCCTGGATTTTCAAGAGCCTTATAAAGATATCGAAATGATAAAGGATTATCGAGGATAAAGGATTTCAACCACATACAGAAGAATCACCTGACAGTTGTTCGGAGGATGAGGAACCTGTAGATTTCGAATATAAAAAGAATGCCGTTGACTTCTGGAGAAGTGGAAAAAAGAAGAATCTCTCTATAGAAACTGTTTCCTATCAGACAGTTACAACGCTGGGCGAATCAAATCAATAAAGGACGGACATACATGGAGAAGTTAAAACGCATTTCGGAGTACACATTAAAGAATATGAAGAATGCTATCGATGCAGATTTGATCGACCACGATACTGACCTCAGAAGGTGGGCCCTGCAAGCCCGGAGGGAAATCGGCTTCGCACACGTTCGTTTTACAGCTTCGTCTAGGTGGTTGCATTATTTCAAACGAGCACACCGCATAACATCCCGGAAGATTAACAAATTCATCACCAGAAAAACATTAGAGACTCGGGAAGAGTTACAAAAAGAAGCGGACGAATTCCTCCTGAAAGTTTGGTCTTATTAGGATACGTATGGCCCAGAAAATATTTATAATACTGATCAAAGTGGTTTCCAATTGGAAATTCATTCAGGGCGAACGTTAGCTGAAGAAGGTACTAACCAAGTAGCGTGCGGCGTACAATCGATAACTTCAACGATACATAGTTATACAGTACAACCTCTGATTTCTGCTGATGGAAAATTACTTTCACCTCTCTTCCTGATTTTGAATGAACCTTCTGGAACTTTCGGTCCAATAGTGGAGTAAAATCTCTTCAAACGTGCGAATGTGTT